TGTGTGTGTGTGTGTGTGTGTGTGTGTGTGTGTGTGTGTGTGTGTGTGTAAGAAACAGGTCATACGGCATTTAATGAAAAAGGTTTTTAGGTCTTATGTCACTTGTTTTTAAACAAATGACACAACAAATGGAAGGGAACACTAGAAAGAAAATGTTTTTACAAATCTATGGACTCGCTCAACGGCAGAAACGTAAAGGTTTTTGACAATAAAAAAAACAACAAACAAAAAACAAGTACATGCTAATTGTTACCTGAGGACAGGAAGTAGTGCTGCGAGTCTCCATGGATCCCCACAGTCCCCGGCCCTGCTGAGTCAGCCAGGATGTTCACCACAGAGAACGCTCCGCTCATGAAGCCGAAGCCGAGACCTGACACTGAGACAAAAGAATGAGAAGACAGCTGAGACATAAGAAAGACTGTACTATGCGATGCTAATCCCAAAGCAAATTAGGCCACTATGCAAGAAGAATGTACAGTGGTCCCTTATCACAGGAGTTACATTGAAAAAATAACCCGCGATAGGTGAAGTCCACAAAGTAGCCAACTTTATTTTTTCACAATTATTATAGATGTTTTAAGGCTGGAAAACTCCTCACTAGACACTTTAGACAGTTTTCTCAGACAGGCATGAACATTTTCACACTTTTCTCTCTTGTTTAAACACCCTCAAAATTCAAACCTTCATAGAAAAATAAGTCCAGTATTGTAGAATGAAACCAAAGATCAAACCCTGTTTTCAGGTCCAGAACATGGGAATAGAGCAGCTGCCAGAGAATTCAACGTTAATGAATCAATGGTAGAAGAATGACTTGAGTAAAGTTTGACTTATCTGACTGTTTTGTTTCACTTAATGCACCTCATAATGCAGTGTGCCTTATGGTCCGAAAAATACGGTAACTTCTATCTTCCCTTAGCATGTCCAGAAGTCCAACTTTTTGTGCGATGGTTAGCATCTTCCTCTGCCTTTTGGGTGCTACCACAGGTGCCTTTGACGGTGCAAAACGTTTCATTAACATTGTTGTGTTTGTTGGGGAGAAAACTTACAAACATACAGTACTTCAGAGTCACACTGCAAGCGATCAAAGATTTATGTAAATTTGACAAGCTGCAGACATTCTGTACTGTACAGGAGACACAGCACGAAGGAGATTGGCCGTAGACCATTGTCAATCAATCAGGATGCAGAACACAATGTGCTGCTTAAAAAAAAAAACTGCAAAATTGCACCAAAGAAAATCCACGAAACAGTGCACCGCATTATAGCTAGGGACCACTAGGGCTGTTCGATATAACGATAACGATATATATCGAATGACGATATAAAAACGTCTATCATTTCATTTTACGCTATCGTTTGTTTCGTGGTGTCGCAAAATAAACTGTTTACGGCAATATTTTTTCATTGTTTTGATGGTCACTGTAGTGGCTATATTCATTTCTTAAAGTTCTCTCTTTCTCTTATATTTAATATAACCACACTACGCACGGACAAGTGCCTGTTTT